GCCTAGGAAATATCTTCAAATAACATGCAAGAAACACGTTTCTTGTTGAAAAGGCTCTTTTGAGCATAAAAACAGTACTAGCAATACTTACAATATTACACATCGCATTGGTACCTAATGCTGTAATGCAAATAGCTCAGGTTATCGTACACACTCATGGTAGTGTATATTTCTTCATTGTATAAAATGTTTGATAATAATAATAATAATAATAATAACAATAAACAATAACTTTATAGCACCTTTCAATTTTCAGTCTCTATTTTATTCGCTTTGGAGAATAAAGAAGAAATATGATTAGGCAACAAATAGTCAATATTATACAACACCTACGTGGATCCTTGTCATTTGATAGGATTGTTGGTCACATGATATTCAATAGATGTTATATTGCACGGGCGTGCATTTTTGGTTATATGCAGACTGCGTACCTCTCTGCCGTGCGCGTATCCCTGTGTGTATCTGACGCGAAGGCAATCTGAATGTATGTAATCGAGAAGGCTTGACTCCAACTTTAATAAATATAAGGAGTAAAGCATAATTTGTTGATTAACGTTCTATTAGATCTTCTGTGATGTTGTATAAATCAAATAAAGAATGTTTTTCATTCGTTCAATAATGCAAATATTTTCATTCGTTGAAAGATTAACGTTATTTCTATTCAACTCGGCTGACGCCTCGTTGAATAGAATGTTAATTTTTCAACTCATGAAAATATTCGCACTATTGAACTCATAACCATTCATTATTTGTATACTATTTAAATCCGATACTAAATTGAACTATACGAACAATTGTAATTGTACTCTGTATAATGTAATTGTGTATGCTTAAGTAGCTTCCATGCTCTTAATAGTGAGCACTTTGCGTAACATAAATAGTATTTTGACAATATAAAACATGTAAAATGCTTTTTTAAATTTCCTGGCTACGTTAAGGCTTGGGAATCTCAACTCAATCCGAGACTTCATATTGATCTGTATACCTGTATATTTAAGGTGCTCCACCTCTTTTTCTTCTCTAGACGTTGATGAGTGTTCTTCTACTCCTTGTATGAATGGAGGCACGTGTACCAATCTGATCAATGATTATTCATGCCAGTGTGTTACCGGCTATACAGACACGAACTGTACCACAGGTATGAAACATTATTTAAAGGGAAATAATTGTCTATGAACGGCCAGTGCCAACCTCCCCAAACTCTATCTAGTGTGAAGAAAATAAGAAATCATCATTAAACCATTGAGAGGTCTGATTTTCATTGCAGTGAGTGAACGATGAAACCTTGTGGTATTCCTTGGACGCAGACATTTGTTCATAGAAAAGGTTAAATGTGTACATTATTATATTCAATTCAGTTTAGTTGGCGTCATAAAAACAACACGTTACGTAACAAATGAAATCAATTACCCTAAGTATACCTGTATACCTGTATATTTAAGGTGCTCCACTTCTTTTTTTTCTTCTCTAGACGTTGATGAGTGTTCTTCTACTCCTTGTATGAATGGAGGCACGTGTACCAATCTGATCAACGATTACTCATGCCAGTGTGTTACCGGCTATACAGACACCAACTGTACCACAGGTATGAAACATTATTTAAAGGGAAATAATTGTCTATGAACGGCCAGTGCCAACCTTTCCAAAATCTATCTAGTATGCATTTCCTGAATTTGTTATAACTTTGCAACTAGATAACCCAAATAAAAATACAAAATTTAAATGACTAAATACATGTTTTATAGCATAAGGAACTCAATAAAGATACTTTTTGATCACTTTTGTAACACACAAATCTATATTATAATTTAAGTAAGGATATCCATTGAAGCTTAAAAACTTTAAGGGTGCTGCATGCCTCCGGCTGAAAAAAGGCCACGTGTAATCCGTTATGACTGCAGATTGTTCTAAAGGCTGGGATTTTTTAAAATAAGTTGTTTGAAATCTCGAAATGAAATATAAAAACTTGATACAAAATACAAAATAGTTCATGAAAGAGGATGGCAACGGATATCTGTACTTGCGCTGAACAGCGACTGTACACTCTTCAAATGGAAATTGAGGATTATTAGCGAGATCCTATTGACTTTGTTCATGCGGCCGAAAACTGCATCGCTAAGCCGAAAACTACCTTCGAAACAGTGAACATGAAAATGATATTTTTTTCTGGGATTCATGTTTTGTTTAAATAATAATAGTATTTGCTTCATGATTTGAGCAAGAAATGAGAATGAATAGGAAGTAAAGAGTCCCAAAATAGGATTTTGTCTTAAGTGGCCAACCCCCCCCCCCCCCTCCTTTACTCTATATTAAAGCTCCGCTCATTTGGTAAGCAGATACGAATCTACCTTATTCAAATAAAATTGTACAATTGTAAATACAATTATGACAGTGCCGTGGTAGCTCAGGAACCGGACCGAGAGTGGAGCAAGGGCCTACAGGGCCTAGATCTAGACCACGCATAGCTGCATTACTAGCTGTGCTATTGATTCTCACTTGACTCAACTGATTTCACTAAAAATCGGTACTTTAACTAGTAACAATTGATGACACCTAAGCAGTAAAAATTAATCTCATCTGAGCTGATCTCTCGATCTCTAATATATTTAACAAAGTTGAATTTGTAGCATATTTAGTAAATTATTTATTGTTATCTTTGGGTCTTGTCAACCATATTGGATTAAATATCAACCATATTGGATTAAATATAGAAAATGATCTTTTTAAATGAAGGCATGGAATTTAAGTAGCCTGTTTTTAGGGTTTAAAAAGGAACAAAAAATTACGTTGTAATAAATCAATGCTTCTATGTTTTGACGTGCGACAATTGAAAACAAATATAAACCGCAAGGTTGAATAAAAGGTATAACAACAGACTAACGATGATAATATTCTCGTATCCTTCTTCACGTTAATCAGAGGTCAAATGTGGCTCACCTGGAAATGGTACGAACACAGAGTCTATTTCAATCACCGAAGGAGACCCTGAGGAAGTATACAATTACACCTGCAGTCATGGATTCAGACTAGACCCTGATAACCTGACGGTAGTTTGTCAACTGAACACTAATGGAACTATTGCTAGCTGGTCTCTAACACCACCTACTTGCTCAAGTATGTAATATCCATGCCTTTCTTTTAACAAATCTTTTGAATGATAGGATTACATCATGGAAATTACTTTTCCTATGTGAAATACAATTATGATAACATAGTGATTCCCCTTATCAATAACCCAGAAATTTACCCCCCCTTCCAGCTGCTAAGGAAGAGGCCCGCCTAAAAGAAATTTAACGTTAACGAACGAAATCATTTACCCTCAGAATAAAGCTATGAACAGGTGTTACACAGATACACAATTAAATTCATCTGAGCTGATCTCTCGATCTCTAATATATTTAACAAAGTTGAATTTGTAGCATATTTAGTAAATTATTTATTGATATCTTTGGGTCTTGTCAACCATGTTGTCTTAAATATAGAAAATGATCTTTTTGAATGAAGGCATAGAATTTTAGTAGCCTGTTTCTAGGGTTTAAAGATAAACAAAAATTTACGTTGTGATAAATCAATGTTTCTATGTTTTGACATGCGACAATTGAAAACAAATGTAAACCGCAAGGTTGAATAAAAGGTGTAACAACAGACTAACGATGATAATATTCTCATATCCTTTTTCACGTTAATCAGAGGTCAAATGTGGCTCACCTGGAAATGGTACGAACACGGAGTTTATTTCAATCACCGAAGGAGACCCTGAGGAAGTATACAATTACACCTGCAGTCATGGCTTCAGACTAGACCCTGATAACCTGACGGTAGTTTGTCAAGTGAACACTAATGGAACTATTGCTAGCTGGTCTCTAACACCACCTACTTGCTCAAGTATGTAATATCCATGCCTTTCTCTTAACAAATCTTTTGAATGATAGGATTACATCATGGAAGTTACTTTTCCTATGTGAAATATGATTATGATAACATTGTGATTGCCCTTGTCAATGACCCAGAAATATACCCCCCCCCCCCCTTCCAGCTGCTAAGGAACAGGCCCGCTAAAAATAAATTTAACGTTACGAACGAAATCATTTATCCTCAGAATAAAGCTATGAACAGGTATTACACAAATACAAATTTGAACTCATCTGAGCTGATCTCTCGATCTCTAATATATTTAACAAAGTTGAATTTGTAGCATATTTAGTAAATTATTTATTGATATCTATGGGTCTTGTCAACCATGTTGTCTTAAATATAGAAAATGATCTTTTTGAATGAAGGCATAGAATTTCAGTAGCCTGTTTCTAGGGTTTAAAGATAAATAAAAAATTACCTTGTGATAAATCAATGTTTCTATGTTTTGACATGCGACAATTGAAAACAAATATAAACCGCAAGGTTGATTAAAAGGTGTAACAACAGACTAACGATGATAATATTTTTCGTATCCTTCTTCACGTCAATCAGAGGTCAAATGTGGCTCACCTGGAAATGGTACGAACACGGAGTTTATTTCAATCACCGAAGGAGACCCTGAGGAAGTATACAATTACACCTGCAGTCATGGCTTCAGACTAGACCCTGATAACCTGACGGTAGTTTGTCAAGTGAACACTAATGGAACTATTGCTAGCTGGTCTCTAACACCACCTACTTGCTCAAGTATGTAATATCCATGCCTTTCTCTTAACAAATCTTTTGAATGATAGGATTACATCATGGAAGTTACTTTTCCTATGTGAAATATGATTATGATAACATTGTGATTGCCCTTGTCAATGACCCAGAAATATACCCCCCCCCCCCTTCCAGCTGCTAAGGAACAGGCCCGCTAAAAATAAATTTAACGTTACGAACGAAATCATTTATCCTCAGAATAAAGCTATGAACAGGTATTACACAAATACAAATTTGAACTCATCTGAGCTGATCTCTCGATCTCTAATATATTTAACAAAGTTGAATTTGTAGCATATTTAGTAAATTATTTATTGATATCTATGGGTCTTGTCAACCATGTTGTCTTAAATATAGAAAATGATCTTTTTGAATGAAGGCATAGAATTTCAGTAGCCTGTTTCTAGGGTTTAAAGATAAATAAAAAATTACCTTGTGATAAATCAATGTTTCTATGTTTTGACATGCGACAATTGAAAACAAATATAAACCGCAAGGTTGATTAAAAGGTGTAACAACAGACTAACGATGATAATATTTTTCGTATCCTTCTTCACGTCAATCAGAGGTCAAATGTGGCTCACCTGGAAATGGTACGAACACGGAGTTTATTTCAATCACCGAAGGAGACCCTGAGGAAGTATACAATTACACCTGCAGTCATGGCTTCAGACTAGACCCTGATAACCTGACGGTAGTTTGTCAACTGAACACTAATGGAACTATTGCTAGCTGGTCTCTAACACCACCTACTTGCTCAAGTATGTAATATCCATGCCTTTCTCTTAACAAATCTTTTGAATGATAGGATTACATCATGGAAGTTACTTTTCCTATGTGGAATATAATTATGATAACATTGTGATTGCCCTTGTCAATAACCCAGTAATTTACCCCCCCCCCTTCCAGCTGCTAAGGAAGAGGCCCGCCTAAAAGAAATGTACATGTAACGTAACGAACGAAATCATTTACCCTCAGAATAAAGCTATGAACAGTTGTTAGACAGATACACAATTAAATTCATCTGAGCTGATCTCTCGATCTCTAATATATTTAACAAAGTTGAATTTGTATCATATTTAGTAAATTATTTATTGATATCTTTGGGTCTTGTCAACCATATTGGATTAAATATCAACCATATTGGATTAAATATCAACCATATTGGATTAAATATAGAAAATGATCTTTTTAAATGAAGGCATGGAATTTAAGTAGCCTGTTTTCAGGGTTTAAAAAGGAACAAAAAATTACGTTGTAATAAATCAAAGCTTCTATGTTTTGACGTGCGACAATTGAAAACAAATATAAACCGCAAGGTTGAATAAAAGGTATAACAACCTACTAACAATGATAATATTCTCGTATCCTTCTTCACGTCAATCAGAGGTCAAATGTGGCTCACCTGGAAATGGTACGAACACAGAGTCTATTTCAATCACCGAAGGAGACCCTGAGGAAGCATACAATTACACCTGCAGTCATGGCTTCAGACTAGACCCTGATAACCTGACGGTAGTTTGTCAACTGAACACTAATGGAACTATTGCTAGCTGGTCTCTAACACCACCTACTTGCTCAAGTATGTAATATCCATGCCTTTCTCTTAACAAATCTTTTGAATGATAGGATTACATCATGGAAGTTACTTTTCCTATGTGAAATATAATTATGATAACATTGTGATTGCCCTTGTCAATAACCCAGAAATATACCCCCCCCCCCCTTCCAGCTGCTAAGGAACAGGCCCGCTTAAAATAAATTTAACGTTACGAACGAAATCATTTACCCTCAGAATAAAGCTATGAACAGGTATTACACAAATACAAAATTGAACTCATCTGAGCTGATCTCTCGATCTCTAATATATTTAACAAAGTTGAATTTGTAGCATATTTAGTAAATTATTTATTGATATCTTTAGGTCTTGTCAACCATGTTGTCTTAAATATAGAAAATGATCTTTTTGAATGAAGGCATAGAATTTTAGTAGCCTGTTTCTAGGGTTTAAAGATAAACAAAAAATTACGTTGTGATAAATCAATGTTTCTATGTTTTGACATGCGACAATTGAAAACAAATATAAACCGCAAGGTTGAATAAAAGGTGTAACAACAGACTAACGATGATAATATTCTTGTATCCTTTTTTACGTTAATCAGAGGTCAAATGTGGCTCACCTGGAAATGGTACGAACACGGAGTCTATTTCAATCACCGAAGGAGACCCTGAGGAAGTATACAATTACACCTGCAGTCATGGCTTCAGACTAGACCCTGATAACCTGACGGTAGTTTGTCAACTGAACACTAATGGAACTATTGCTAGCTGGTCTCTAACACCACCTACTTGCTCAAGTATGTAATATCCATGCCTTTCTCTTAACAAATCTTTTGAATGATAGGATTACATCATGGAAGTTACTTTTCCTATGTGAAATATGATTATGATAACATTGTGATTGCCCTTGTCAATGACCCAGAAATATACACCCCCCCCCCCTTCCAGCTGCTAAGGAAGAGGCCCGCCTAAAAGAAATGTAACGTAACGAACGAAATAATCACCCTCAGAATAAAGCTATGAACAGGTATTACACAAATACAAAATTAAACTCATCTGAGCTGATCTCTCGATCTCTTATATATCTAACAAAGTTGAATTTGTAGCATATTTAGTAAATTATTTATTGATATTTTTGGGTCTCATCAACCATGTTGTCTTAAATATAGAAAATGATCTTTTTAAATGAAGGCATAGAATTTTAGCAGCCTGTTTCTAGGGTTTAAAAAGGAACAAAAAGTTACGTTGTAATAAATCAATTTTTCTATGTTTTGAGATGCGACAATTGAAAACAAATATAAACCGCAAGGTTGAATAAATGGTATAACAACAAACTAACAATGATAATATTCTCGTATCCTTCTTCACATTAATCAGAGGTCAAATGTGGCTCACCTGGAAATGGTACGAACACAGAGTCTATTTCAATCACCGAAGGAAACCCTGAGGAATCATACAATTACACCTGCAGTCATGGCTTCAGACTAGACCCTAATAACCTGACGGTAGTTTGTCAACTGAACAGTAATGGAACTATTGCTAGCTGGTCTCTACCACCACCTACTTGCTCAAGTATGTAATATTCATGCCTTTATCTTAACAAATCTTTTGAATGATAGGATTACATCATGTAAATTTGCTCTTTCTATGTGAAATATAAAACGGTGATTCCCGTGACAATGCTCCAGAAAGAGCCCCTTCCATTAACCCTCAAACCAACAGTGATAATATTGTCTCATCGTTTTTCACCTGAATCACAGGTCTCAAATGTGCATATTTCACGCATGAGTGATTAAAATCAATTTGACGAAAGGATAATAGTATCTAAATTTTAAAGAAAAAGTCATATTTCCCGAAAGTTCATTTTCTGCCCTTTCATATGACACCCCAATCAGGAAAAATGAGCCAGGAATAACAGAGTTATATTTGTTTTTAAGTAATTCTTGCATTTCCATAATTTTAAAAGAATTCGTTTTCACTGGCTGCCTGCCGTAGCAACAAACAAGAAACTCTGTTTCGTTGACGTCAGCGATGCATAAAGTCTTTCGTCTTCTTTGTTGTAAGGGCAGACATCCGGTGGAACGGATTTGTTTTAATAAAATTATGGAAATGCAAGCATTACTTTAAACAAACAGACCTTTGTTATTCATGGCTCATTTTTCCTGATTGAGGCGTCATTTGAAAGGGCAGAAAACTAACTTTCTGTAAATGTATTTTTCCCTTTGAAATTCTGGGACGCACTGTATATTCAGTAGTGCCCAACGGGAGAAGGAACTTAAGAGAAAAACAGAAATAAGTGATTTTTTGGTACACAGCTAATGGGAGAGTTGGACCATGTCCTACCTCACAATCTCCACTGACCAAACTACCAATTTGAGATTTGCATCGACTTAGTGATCCCTTACTTCAAGCATTCATAACTTCCTTACTATTGGTTCGATTCATTACAAACCGTTGCCATTCTGTTTCAGATATTTTTCTGCCTTCACACAACTTATTACAAGGGTTGGATTGCTCTTTATCAAATCAACATCAAATCAAATAAACTAAAATAAAACGTAACGTAACGAATGAAATAATATATCATAAGTTAAAAAAAAAAAAAAAAAAAAAAAAAAAAAAATCTGCGCAGGGATGACATATAAACACAATTAAACTCATCTAAGCTGATCTGTCGACCCCAAACATATATAGCAAAGTTACATCCGTAGCATGTCAATGACGGGCTCAGCCACCTGACGTTCTACAGCAACTACTCATAAGAAAACTCTATTTACGCTCTCTCAATCTATCTTTCACGCAGTGCAAACATATATTAATTGTATCTATCCTGTTATTATATTCATTTTGTTTCTTATTTCGCTTCCTTTAAAGGAGGCTATTATCTTCTGTTATTTTTTTTACTTTCTGTATGTGCTGCTGCTGTTCTTTTTTTCTTGTTGTTTATTGTTTGTTATGTTTTCAGAATATTTTCTCACATTATTACTGGAATGATAAGACCTTTTCCCTTTATCAAAATGTATAGCATGTTCAGTTTTTTCAACATGTTTTCCACAAATCTAACGATAGGTATAATTCTCCTATTTCGGGTATTGTTTTGGTAATGGCATGTTTCTAAACAATATACTTTCGGATAACATGTATGCGACAAATTAGTCCGAAGTCTACAGGCATAAACCTAATCAAAAAAAGCAAATAGATAATGAAATATTGTTTGCCATATGTTTTTTTTAATGAAATGTTCTGTCAAATGACACTTTTATAGTAGGTATTTCCATACAGCGATCTTTAAAAAAAAATTGTACAAGGAGAGAATAACTTTTCCGTTTAATTCGCTAGTCAGATTGTTCGATAATCATAATCCTTTGTACGATAGTCATGAAACTAAGCTCTATTTTACAGGAATGAAAACCGAGCAAAAGAGGAGAACAGTGGCCTTTCTGTATATATTATATTAATCTACATTCTGACATTACTCACCTCAAAACCTGCATAACACAAATTCACAAAGTTTACGAACGTCAAAAATCTGTCTAAGGTAATACTTGTACTATAGATAACCATTCGATCGCTCTGTGACGCAGAATAATTTTTTAATCGAGAAGTGGCCTACTGCCTACGACTCGTTAAGGTTTTGTATATCAGCATTACCATTGATGGAATGTGACTTTACTGTGTTCCTTCGTTTGATTATCTTTACCAGCCCAAGAATGAAGAACGACATATATATGATTTGTACATTAGTATTGTTATTCACAATACACCAGTTTACAGTTGTATCAGTGCGCATGCGCAGACAGTTGACCTCGGGTCCTTGGCCCCGGAACTGGGCTTATTGGCCCCGTTCCGGGGCCAATAACCTTTGACCAGTGGTATCTATGCGTAAATTAAGATTGCGCCCATGCAAATAATGATGTGCGCGCACAACGCAGCGCGTAGGGCAGTGATATTATCAAAATTTGCATGGGCGCAATCCTAATTTACGCATAAATACATGACCTCTAGGTCATTCGCTTTGTTTAAAATGGCGCACACAACTGTAAACTGGTGTATTGAAGGAGCACATATAGTTGTAATTCGCATTCAGACCATTTTTCGTCGAAGTACTAGCTATTGCCCATATTTACATTATGAATAGTCAAATGATCAATAACATCTAAATCCTCAGAATTCAGCAGTGACGTCAGACGGGAAGGCTTAAATGCACTAAATTTTATCATTGAACCTAAATCAGAAATATGATGCCTGTTTTAGATTTTCATATCTAATCACATGGATAATTGTATTTCTCGAAATCGTAACGCTATATGATCGTATAGTGTGTGATGGCCTTTACTCTTTTGAATTTGAATTTTTTAAATACAAGTAAAATCAAGATTTAGCCTAAAGGTATGAAAAGTATTTGTAGACGTAGACAGAAATCGTCTTCTATCATAGAACTGAGACCTTGAGGGAGAACATAGCTATCATGTTACTGGTGCTGAATCAATCTTAACGTAACATATTCTTCTTCTTTTTTTAATAATTTGCGTATTGTTTAACCTTCATATACAGATCTATTCAGTTTATTCATTCATTGTGCTCTACAAATTGCAATGGATACATTATGAGAATAGTAATTTTCTAACAAAAAGAAAAAAAGTTGAGTTTTCTCAATATTTACTGTCATTCTGAAGAAAAAAATAACCAAAAAGATATATTTCCTCTGAAAAGTATTACTTCTTAAATTTCAAGGCATTTTTCGAGCATGAGGGATGCTCGAAAAATGACGTGAAATAGTTGAAAAATTGGCACAAACTGCATTCCAAATGTCCATTCGCCAAATCTATCTGTGTGCACTGGATATGATTGTCTGTAAATTGAGACAAGTATTTTTCATATAACCAACACTTTCAATCATCTTTTGTACTACAACAATCAACTGTTCCAAACAGCTCTTTCGCAATTCGTAATCATATGACCAGCACTAAATTTATTTGTTTAAGTATCAGTGCCAAAGTTCTGTTTCAGCTGTTTGAAATACGTACAAGGATAAAACTTTGTCGAATATAAATTCCTCTCTTTCTCTCCAAAGCGACTGCAAAGATCTTTGTGACAGATGAAGACACCGAGTACAAGATTTTTGTTGCAGATCTTCAAGATGACCTAGACTTCACTCACATTCCATCCACTAAACAACCACGTTCTATTACCTATGATTCCGTGGAGAAGAAGATCTACTGGGCTGACAAGGAAACAGAACGAGTTTATCGTGCTGATGTGGATGGTGAAAACAGGGAGGAGGTCACTTCTGAAAGCAGTGATGGTACATACGGTCTAATGTAGAAAATATCCTCAGTTAACATTTGAAATACGCTCAGACGTGAGAATAAACCTGCCCCCTATCTAATGATTAACAAATACAGAATCATATCATGAATCCTTGTATATATGAATAGAATTGGTCAAGGAATATGACATCATATGACACTGACATAGAGCTTATTCCACAGCATACTTTCTTCATGAGACGGATATCAAAAAAACATCTAGTGTATTGGGATTAGTAATATGTGCAATCTCTATTTGTTTGTGTGTTAGTTTATTAACTGCTATTATTTTCTGTATCTATTTGGAATTTTTAAAAATAAATAAATGGTTTGTTCCAATCCTTACAAGGCCGCCCCCCCCCCCCATTTCCAGATATTTAGAATTCATGATTTCCTTTCAGATTTGTTTAAGATCCGCGGAATTGCGATAGCTGAATCATCACGTATTCTATACGTTAGCAAGTGGCCACGTGAAATACGATCTGTGTTTATTGGACAAGGCAGCGCATTTCCAAGGGAATTACAGACGAAATTTGTAGAAAATGACAGAGAAACACCTAATTGTTTGGAGGTGGATGAGGAACAGGGGTAAGTAACAAAATTAAGAATGATGAAAGAAATTTTTTTAACCAAAAATATAAGTATATTATTAATAATAATGATTTTAATAATAAGAATTATAATTAAAATAATAATAATGTTGACAATTATAATGAACTGCAGCGTGTAAAGTATATTGCGAGGCTTGCCTTTATTATATACGATTTTCAATACTGAGGCTCTTTTGCTCCACGGCAATGCATTACTTTTTATTTGAGGCATCTCACACCAGGTTTACTCAAAAGATATTGCAGGATATGTTTCATTTCTATCCATGGTTACCAGGGGCAGCGATCCCGGGGGGACGGGGGGACACGTCCCCCCTCGATTTTTGTAGGAGGGGATCGTCCCCCCCCCCCCCCCGGAAAATTTGAAAAAGTGCAAAAAAATAATGTACAACAAATACTGACTAAAGACTTCAACACACTATTAGGCTTTGGAGGGCCCAAGAGTGCAGCGTTTAGACAAATAAAAATGCAAAAATCTCCTGGCTCGGGAACTATGCTCCCTCGCATAACATCCTTCAAAATTTACAAGTAATTATTGTAGAAAAGTGAAGTGTGAAAAAAGTACATTGTTTGTTTTCATACTATAGTTTTGCCAAGGAATATAATTTTGTAATACAACAAAACTTTAAAACCTGTGAGGGGTACTTTCATCCCCTTCACCCCTCTCATTCACTATGCTCACTCACTCGGGCTTGGGGCAGTCCCCCCTCCCCCTCCCGATAAAATTCGAACGTGGTTTATTTCTAATTCGATACCAGTGACTAATTTACGAATGTTGCTAAAATGGCATGGTAATTCCCTGAGCTTCCGGGGCCGCTTCGCCCCTGGCCCACACCAGGGCCCTAAGCGGGCCACTGGATGCTCATCTGACCATATTCAAAAGCCTAAAACCCTGAGCTTCTGGGGGCTCCGCCACTAGATCACACCAAGGGCCTAAGGCGGCCCCTGGATGCTCACCTGATCGTAATTTAATGCCTAAAACCGCTGAGCTTCTGGGGGCTTCGCCCCCTAGACCCCACTCCGATTAGTGACCTCCATGGAAGTGTCACAATTAAGGTACCAAAATATGCTCATCTGACCCTTATTAAATGCCTAAAACCTCTAAGCTTCATGGGGCTCCGCCCCTTGACCCCTGCCGGGGCTTTGCCCCTGGACCCCACGCCAATTTACGCCCCACTTGCTCCCACTCTGAAAAACGTTCCACGGGGCCTGCATGTGACATGTAAGAGCGGTGACGATGCAGATTTTTTTCTACCCCCCCCCCCAAAAAAAGAGTTTTTGCTTATTACGTCACTCCTCCCTCGTTCCTCGCATTTCGTCCCCCCGGTCATGAAAAGAAATCGCCGCCCCTGATGGTTACCCATATTATGTTGGTGAAAGGCTGACGTCTTGGCAACGTCTGATTTTCTTGATATTGATATGAATTGAATTGATTTGACATTTTCAGATTCTTGTATTGGACAGAGGCTGCAATAATCAAACGCAAACCTCTCAATGGATCTGGAAGCATGGAGATAGTATTTAACGCCGCAGCAGACGTAGGCCTATATTATATCAGCGGATTGAGCATTGATCTTAGTCGTACGTATTTCATATTTAGAATGGTTTGATTCATTCTTTATTCGCCAAGCTTCCAACACACAACAATATACAATAACTAGATTTGTAATACTTGTTTGGTACAAGTATAGGTGGGCTGGTCCAGCTAACATTTTAGACAAAATGAAGGGCACATTTGAGATAGCTAATTGTCTCAGCTACATCATACTCGAAGTTCAGCGTAAATGAAGCTAAAATGACGTAGATGTTGCCCGCGAAAGACGGGAATGTAGAATCGAGTTTTGAGAAAAAGTCATGTCCCATAGAGAATACACGCAAAATGTGAAAAATTGACATGCCTCCTTTAATCGCAAAAATACGCCATGATACCTTTGTCAAAATGAAGAATAGTACTGACTGCATTTGTAGAAATTTGTCTCAGCTAGAACATATTAAAATTTGGAAGAAAATTGATCAATATTTACAGAGATACAATCAATTTTCCATAAATATGCTGACGTCATAATATGCAAATTGGAATTTTGAGTTCGGAGGCCATTATGATGACGTCATGAGTTAATTGAGGGTCAAATGAGACATGAAACAATATTTCCGAATCATACTCTTTTAAAATATGAAAACAAATTGGGGTCACCTTCCATCCTAAAGAGCTACAATGGATTTTGTATAGGCGTGTTTTTGCCCATATATGCTATGTATTACAAGAGCTCGCGCGCATGGAGATTTATGTTAAACGGTCGATCATTCCGTTATTAATAGTCATAAAGAGACAAACATGGTATCAATATGTTTGTAAATATATGTGGTATATTATGAAAGAAAAAAAAAGGCAATTCAATGTTGTGCAAAAGTTTTACGCGCGAAAACGCGCGCGCATGCTCGTACGCGCGATTTTTTATAAAATGCTTAGAATGGCCTAAAACGTATGCAAAATGATTTTCAGACGATTTTGAGCATTTCAAAATTTTGCGCGCGCATTGACGCGCGGACGTACGCGCACGCGCGCGTTATTTGACCTTTTATTGACCGGACGGATATTGACCTTGATCATGATAAATATGAACGAGAAATACCTTTTGGTTATGAAGATATGATCATGAGTTGATTTTCGTATAATTTTACAAAATGGCGCCTAGATGACGTCATCAGTGAAGGTCAATGTTGAAAACGTTATTGTGCTTTGTACATATGTCTATACATATGTGTGCCAAATTTCTAGGCATTTGATTGAGCCATTTCCAAGTTATCTTGTTCACAAAAAAGTGGTTAGAAATAAGAAAAATATATAATAAACTAGATTTGTAATACTTGTTTGGTACAAGTATAGGTGGGCTGGTCCAGCTAACATTTTAGACAAAATGAAGGGCACATTTGAGATAGCTAATTGTCTCAGCTACATCATACTCGAAGTTCAGCGTAAATGAAGCTAAAATGACGTAGATGTTGCCCGCGAAAGACGGGAATGTAGAATCGAGTTTTGAGAAAAAGTCATGTCCCATAGAGAATACACGCAAAATGTGAAAAATTGACATGCCTCCTTTAATCGCAAAAATACGCCATGATACCTTTGTCAAAATGAAGAATAGTACGACTGCATTTGTAGAAATTTGTCTCAGCTAGAACATATTAAAATTTGGAAGAAAATTGATCAATATTTACAGAGATACAATCAATTTTCCATAAATATGCTGACGTCATAATATGCAAATTGGAATTTTGAGTTCGGAGGCCATTATGATGACGTCATGAGTTAATTGAGGGTCAAATGAGACATGAAACAATATTTCCGAATCATACTCTTTTAAAATATGAAAACAAATTGGGGTCACCTTGCATCCTAAAGAGCTACAATGGATTTTGTATAGGCGTGTTTTTGCCCATATATAATATGTATTACAAGAGCTCGCGCGCATGGAGATTTATGGTAAACGGTCGATCATTCCGTTATTAATAGTCATAAAGAGACAAACATGGTATCAATATGTTTGTAAATATATGTGGTATATTATGAAAGAAAAAAAAAAGGCAATTCAATGTTGTGCAAAAGTTTTACGCGCGAAAACGCGCGCGCATGCTCGTACGCGCGATTTTTTATAAAATGCTTAGAATGGCCTAAAACGTATGCAAAATGATTTTCAGACGATTTTGAGCATTTCAAAATTTTGCGCGCGCATTGACGCGCGGACGTACGCGCACGCGCGCGTTATTTGACCTGAAATTGACCGGACGGATATTGACCTTGATCATGATAAATATGAACGAGAAATACCTTTTGGTTATGAAGATATGATCATGAGTTGATTTTCGTAAAATTTTACAAAATGGCGCCTAGATGACGTCATCAGTGAAGGTCAATGTTGAAAACGTTATTGTGCTTTGTACATATGTCTATACATATGTGTGCCAAATTTCTAGGCATTTGATTGAGCCATTTCCAAGTTATCTTGTTCACAAAAAAGTGGTTAGAAATAAGAAAAATATATAATAAAGGCAATTCTAACGAAATTATAAGGTGGTCTGTACGTTATACAGCCCACCTGATAAATAAAGGCAATTCTAACGAAATTATAAGGTGGTCTGTACGTTATACAGCCCACCTGATAACAGATCTAAATTAAGTCAGCTTGAACAGGATAACCCACGAAAGCTCGAGAGCTTATTTCCGGTGGGGTCTCCTACATACATGTTCAAAATTAATAAGTTGCAATAGTAATATTTACAGACAGATAAGAGAAAGAAAAAATTACTTATCAAAGATAATAATAATAACAACTTTAAACTGATGATAGAAATGATAATAAGTACAAGAAGAAAAATAAGAAGGAGAAGAAGAAAAAGGGGAGGAGGA